TGCAGAGAACGGAGTGAATGGTTTGGTGCAATTCGCTGCGGCTTCTGCGGGGAAGGGCAGACCCTGGATCGTCTCTTCGTTGGCTGCATCAGCATCCCTCTCCCCCCGCCCCCCAGCAGCAGCAGCAGCAGCAGCAGCAGCAGCAGCAGCAGCAGCAGGAGCATTTGTTTACGTGTTGCAGTGCATGAGGATTGTAGTTATGATTGTGCTGAGGTATACAGCAACCCAGAAGGTAACCAGTGGTTCAATCTACGGCTGGGTTTGCTGCTTGCTGCTGCTCGCTGCTGCTGCTGGTGCGGCGAGCTAGGAGCAGCAAGAAACTGCAGCAGCAGCAACTGTGCTGCTGCTGCTCATCTCCCCTGCCATAGAAGAGTTACACAACAAAGACATGACCTGTAATACATCAATATATATATGCTGCTGCTGCTGCTGCTGCTGCTGCTGCTGCTGCTGATGCTGGTGGTAGTGGTGGTGGTGCTGCTGCTGCTGCTGCTGTTGGTGGTGATACATTGTCGCTGCTGGTGTTGCTGCTGCTGCTGCTGCTGCTGGGAATGATGCTGCTGCTGTTGCTGTTCCTGCTGCTCCTGCCGGCGTTCCTCTTGCTGCTGCTGCTGCTATTGTTGCTGTTGATGTTGCTTCTGCTTGTGTTACTGTTGCTGCTGCTCCTTCTGTTGCTGCTGCTGCTGCTTCTGCCACGCCTTATGCCCTCAATATTGCTTCTGTTGCTGCTGCTGCTGCTGCTGCTGTTGCTGCTGCTGCTGCTGCTGCTGCTGCAGGCCTGTGTACTGTCCGGATCACTTACTGGAGAAGTGGCGGGGCCACCAGGGGGGCGCAGGACCTTCACAAGCAGCAGCAGCAGCAGCAGCTGCTGCTGCTGCTGCTGCTGCAGCTGCTGCAGCTGCTGCTGCACAGGAGCCTAAGAAAGGGCTACAGGCGACTGCGCGGCGGCAGCAGCGACGGCTGCGCCAGCTGCAGCAGCAGCAGCAGCAGATGCAGCTGCAGCAGCAGGAGGAAGCAAATTGCTGCCAGTGTACTG